GCCCCAGGGGGGCCAGGCGCTGCTCACCTTCGATGAGCTGGGAGAGCTGGGTGCCCGCCACGCTCTCGGTGACGTCGCTCTTGCGGGACGCTTTGCGGTAGCGGATTTTGTATCCCGTGATTTGCCCGCTGTGGGTGCCGGCAGGAGGGGGCTGCCACTGCAGCAGGATGCTCTGGGAAAGGCAGCACAGGAAGGTATTGGGGAAAAAGTCTTTAGGAAGGCTTTAAAAACCCCCTCCACACGCTATTCCAAAGGCACAATGGGCAAATATTTTATTTTTAAAAGGGCCCAAGGCACTCCAGAAGTGTGTCTGTGTGTGTCCACGCTGCAAACAACAGTGAGCAGGGATTCCAGCTCTGATCCTTCCATCAGCAGCACTGACACTGCATCCCATGGCCAGCCCACAGCTGGGCTGTAGTATCTCCAAGCCCGACATTCAGATATTTTCTATAAAGAGCTCAAAAACTGCGTGGGAGTAAAAAAGACCCAAAGCAGCTCCAAAATGTGGCCAATCTAAGACCCCCCAGCCTTTTATTTACCCATTGCCAGCAGGAAATGGCTCCAGTCTTACCTTAGAATTCCGAGCCTCCAGAGTTAGATTCTGTGGTGGAGCACTGGGGACTGGAAACATTAAAGGAATTACAAACCCAAAACTTTCAAATATTGCATTTCCACCCCCACTACTTCCTGCTCTCATTTGCTATGGAAGTACAAACCATTCTGATTTCAGGCAGCACATAAAAGAACTACCAATCCTCCCACAGGTACTTTCTGACACAGTGAATGGCTAAGGACAGTCCTTTATTTTTATCCTGAAGAAAAAACTCTTTATTCAGGTCTTTATTTTCACACTTATCTAAATAAAATGTGTTTTACATTTAAAAGCACTTCTTAAACTCTCAGAGAAAGTATCCCATCCAGCTCTTTCCCAAGGCAACTCTTTACTGAACACATTGCTTGACTGGGGGAACCCACGTTTAAATTTCGAGCCTGGATTTTGTTATCCTGATTTTATTTATCAGGAAACCTCTGAGTCCCCAGGGCCCTGTGACAGTGAGGAGGTGAAGAGCATCTCAGACACTGGGGCTGCCTTTGAACTCCTCTCTGCTTGTTCTTTACTCACTCCTCATGGCAGTGAAATCCAGGCAAAAAGGGAGTGCAAGAAAAACCCTGGGAGCAGGGAATTCCTTGTGGCTCCACAGCAAACGTTGGCCCCTGGCAGAGCTGAGGCTTCCCTGGCAGGAAGGGGAGGCTCCAGGGAAGCACAAAGATGGGCAAGGAGCACAGGGATAAAGAGGGATGAGGACTGCTCCAGCCTGCAGAATTCATCTTCCAAATAACTCAACCCAGGCACAGTAACATCCCAGGGAACCCCTGAGGGCATGAAGTGGAAGAAGAGTTTGTAAAGGACAAACCTGCCTCACCACCACCCCACAGAATGGAGAGGAGCAGGATTTGCCTTCCCTTGCCAACCCAGCTGAGCCTGGAATCACCACACCTGAGGATGGAGAGCTGGGGCTGGAGAAGCAGCACAGTGGAGAGGAGGGGATACAAGGCCAAGCTTTCCTTGCTCCTCCAGTGTCACCCTGCCACGGGCAGGGACACCTTCTGCTCCCAGCCCCATCCAGCCTGGCCTGGGACACCGCCAGGGATGCAGGGGCAGCCACAGCTGCTCTGGGCACCTGTGCCAGGGCCTGCCCACCCTCCCAGGGATTTGCTATGGACAGGCATCTCCTGCAGTGGGACAGCACATGGAGAGCAGCCTGGCAGGAGCCCCAGGACATGCTGATGGCTCAGAGGCTCTGAGGGAAGGGCCTCAATCAGGCTCCAAGGCTCAGAATCCACTCCCAGCTGTAATCCCTGATCACAATTCCAGGAGAGGAGAAGCAATCCTCAGGAGCAGCACATAAACCTGGGTTCAAATGGTAATACCTGCAGAGTTATCCCTGCAACAAGGCACTGTAACAGATTAGGAGCAAAAACCTACATAAAAATGCAGATGCTTTGTTAAATCAGGGCTAAAGGAAGCTTAGGGAGAAATCCATGCAGGGAACACGGATTGCTCCTGGACACTACAACAGTAAAATATGGGAGGAAAATGTGCATAATTTTGGAAAGATTTCAGAGCTTGCCAGGGTTATGAGACCATAAGAAGCAAGATGACATCCTTCAGAGAGCTTTAGAAAGTAAGTACTTATAGGTTAAATGTGAAAACTGAAGCTGGAGAAGAAAGAACTCCAGGAAAACTTCAAAATTACATTGCAATTAATAATGAGTTCTTCTTCAAACAATCAAGGAGCTGGCAGCCCTTTAGAGAAATCAGTGAGCAAATGGTCAGGGAGGGCAGAAAAGACAAAGATAAGGCCACCCAAGTCTCTCTTTGCATTGGTAGTGAGGGAAAGGGAAAGGAGAGGTTTCCTTGACACCCTTCCAAAGGATTCCCATGGTCCCTCCAACTGCAGTGTCAGTGTAAGGGATTATGGAACATTCAGACACAGGGAACAGCAGCCTCTTGCCAGGGCCATGTGTTATCCATCCAGGAACTCTCAAGGAACTGGGGAGTGAAACAGCAGCAAGACTTCTGCAACCTCTCCCCGTTTATCTTGATACCAGAGGTGGCAAAATGTTGCCAGCAATAAACTCAAACTCCACCTGCTGGGTCAGAAACTCCCCCCAATCAACCAAAATAACAATAAAGCATGAAACTGAGAAAGCAGGAGCTAGAGTAGGAGCAGAATAGGGATTTCTCTGTCTTTCAAGGGAAATCAATTTTAAGCAATGAGGGGATGGGAGGGAAGTGCTCGTTGAAAGAAAGGCCAGAGCAAGAAGAAGGGGAGAGATGAGCTGGGGAGATCCCAGGATGTGATCATCCTGTGGTAAAGAACTGCACAAAGACCTCAGGATGATTCCTCTTGGTGCTCAGAAGAACCCAAAAAGCTCCTCAAATGCAAGTGATGCCTCACTTCCACCTTTGGTGCCATTTTAGTCCCCTCTACCTGAGTTTTTAAAACAAAGCAGAAAAGGAACCTAGAGTAAAGTTCAGAAAAGGGCACTACAGGTTGAAACAGCTTCCACAGGAGAAATGGACAACCATTCCTGTGTCTTTGGAATCTGGAAAATGGATGAACCAGGGAGACCACGGCAAAGGTCCACAGAATGAGGAGTGGGACAGAGGAATAATCAGTGGACACTGAGTATTCCCTCCTTCAGGGGCACAGCCCCAGGCAACACGGGACCCCAACACAGAGCAGGGGCAGAACAGACAGAAAGGGGGGATTTTTCAGAGGAAATATGTCTGTGGAACCTTTGCCCATGTGATGTTGTGGATAAAAGCTGGTGTGGGTTCAAGAAGATGCTGACAGGGTCTCATGGAAGAGGAACTGAATTAGCAAATACACAGAAACCACTGCAAAGTTAGGAAGTGCCCCAGAAACAAACCTGGACCCACAGAGAGTTTGGGACAATGTTCCCCTCTGCTCCTTGTCACTCCTGGGGAGAGGATTCCAGGCTCTGCCCCCTTTCCCTGTGAGTGTCCTTCTGTATAAACTTCTCTCCAACAAATACAAGCTATCACTAACTCTGATCACTGCAGTTGCTCATGTATCTCTGTTTGCTCACATCGCCTCTGTATCTGCCTTATAAAAAATACTGACCCCACGTCCTGCTCTCACCACTCTGTGCAATGGATTTAACAATATCTGTGCNGCCCCAGGGGGGCCAGGCGCTGCTCACCTTCGATGAGCTGGGAGAGCTGGGTGCCCGCCACGCTCTCGGTGACGTCGCTCTTGCGGGACGCTTTGCGGTAGCGGATTTTGTATCCCGTGATTTGCCCGCTGTGGGTGCCGGCAGGAGGGGGCTGCCACTGCAGCAGGATGCTCTGGGAAAGGCAGCACAGGAAGGTATTGGGGAAAAAGTCTTTAGGAAGGCTTTAAAAACCCCCTCCACACGCTATTCCAAAGGCACAATGGGCAAATATTTTATTTTTAAAAGGGCCCAAGGCACTCCAGAAGTGTGTCTGTGTGTGTCCACGCTGCAAACAACAGTGAGCAGGGATTCCAGCTCTGATCCTTCCATCAGCAGCACTGACACTGCATCCCATGGCCAGCCCACAGCTGGGCTGTAGTATCTCCAAGCCCGACATTCAGATATTTTCTATAAAGAGCTCAAAAACTGCGTGGGAGTAAAAAAGACCCAAAGCAGCTCCAAAATGTGGCCAATCTAAGACCCCCCAGCCTTTTATTTACCCATTGCCAGCAGGAAATGGCTCCAGTCTTACCTTAGAATTCCGAGCCTCCAGAGTTAGATTCTGTGGTGGAGCACTGGGGACTGGAAACATTAAAGGAATTACAAACCCAAAACTTTCAAATATTGCATTTCCACCCCCACTACTTCCTGCTCTCATTTGCTATGGAAGTACAAACCATTCTGATTTCAGGCAGCACATAAAAGAACTACCAATCCTCCCACAGGTACTTTCTGACACAGTGAATGGCTAAGGACAGTCCTTTATTTTTATCCTGAAGAAAAAACTCTTTATTCAGGTCTTTATTTTCACACTTATCTAAATAAAATGTGTTTTACATTTAAAAGCACTTCTTAAACTCTCAGAGAAAGTATCCCATCCAGCTCTTTCCCAAGGCAACTCTTTACTGAACACATTGCTTGACTGGGGGAACCCACGTTTAAATTTCGAGCCTGGATTTTGTTATCCTGATTTTATTTATCAGGAAACCTCTGAGTCCCCAGGGCCCTGTGACAGTGAGGAGGTGAAGAGCATCTCAGACACTGGGGCTGCCTTTGAACTCCTCTCTGCTTGTTCTTTACTCACTCCTCATGGCAGTGAAATCCAGGCAAAAAGGGAGTGCAAGAAAAACCCTGGGAGCAGGGAATTCCTTGTGGCTCCACAGCAAACGTTGGCCCCTGGCAGAGCTGAGGCTTCCCTGGCAGGAAGGGGAGGCTCCAGGGAAGCACAAAGATGGGCAAGGAGCACAGGGATAAAGAGGGATGAGGACTGCTCCAGCCTGCAGAATTCATCTTCCAAATAACTCAACCCAGGCACAGTAACATCCCAGGGAACCCCTGAGGGCATGAAGTGGAAGAAGAGTTTGTAAAGGACAAACCTGCCTCACCACCACCCCACAGAATGGAGAGGAGCAGGATTTGCCTTCCCTTGCCAACCCAGCTGAGCCTGGAATCACCACACCTGAGGATGGAGAGCTGGGGCTGGAGAAGCAGCACAGTGGAGAGGAGGGGATACAAGGCCAAGCTTTCCTTGCTCCTCCAGTGTCACCCTGCCACGGGCAGGGACACCTTCTGCTCCCAGCCCCATCCAGCCTGGCCTGGGACAGCGCCAGGGATGCAGGGGCAGCCACAGCTGCTCTGGGCACCTGTGCCAGGGCCTGCCCACCCTCCCAGGGATTTGCTATGGACAGGCATCTCCTGGAGTGGGACAGCACATGGAGAGCAGCCTGGCAGGAGCCCCAGGACATGCTGATGGCTCAGAGGCTCTGAGGGAAGGGCCTCAATCAGGCTCCGAGGCTCAGAATCCACTCTCAGCTGTAATCCCTGATCACAATTCCAGGAGAGGAGAAGCAATCCTCAGGAGCAGCACATAAACCTGGGTTCAAATGGTAATACCTGCAGAGTTATCCCTGCAACAAGGCACTGTAACAGATTAGGAGCAAAAACCTACATAAAAATGCAGATGCTTTGTTAAATCAGGGCTAAAGGAAGCTTAGGGAGAAATCCATGCAGGGAACACGGATTGCTCCTGGACACTACAACAGTAAAATATGGGAGGAAAATGTGCATAATTTTGGAAAGATTTCAGAGCTTGCCAGGGTTATGAGACCATAAGAAGCAAGATGACATCCTTCAGAGAGCTTTAGAAAGTAAGTACTTATAGGTTAAATGTGAAAACTGAAGCTGGAGAAGAAAGAACTCCAGGAAAACTTCAAAATTACATTGCAATTAATAATGAGTTCTTCTTCAAACAATCAAGGAGCTGGCAGCCCTTTAGAGAAATCAGTGAGCAAATGGTCAGGGAGGGCAGAAAAGACAAAGATAAGGCCACCCAAGTCTCTCTTTGCATTGGTAGTGAGGGAAAGGGAAAGGAGAGGTTTCCTTGACACCCTTCCAAAGGATTCCCATGGTCCCTCCAACTGCAGTGTCAGTGTAAGGGATTATGGAACATTCAGACACAGGGAACAGCAGCCTCTTGCCAGGGCCATGTGTTATCCATCCAGGAACTCTCAAGGAACTGGGGAGTGAAACAGCAGCAAGACTTCTGCAACCTCTCCCCGTTTATCTTGATACCAGAGGTGGCAAAATGTTGCCAGCAATAAACTCAAACTCCACCTGCTGGGTCAGAAACTCCCCCCAATCAACCAAAATAACAATAAAGCATGAAACTGAGAAAGCAGGAGCTAGAGTAGGAGCAGAATAGGGATTTCTCTGTCTTTCAAGGGAAATCAATTTTAAGCAATGAGGGGATGGGAGGGAAGTGCTCGTTGAAAGAAAGGCCAGAGCAAGAAGAAGGGGAGAGATGAGCTGGGGAGATCCCAGGATGTGATCATCCTGTGGTAAAGAACTGCACAAAGACCTCAGGATGATTCCTCTTGGTGCTCAGAAGAACCCAAAAAGCTCCTCAAATGCAAGTGATGCCTCACTTCCACCTTTGGTGCCATTTTAGTCCCCTCTACCTGAGTTTTTAAAACAAAGCAGAAAAGGAACCTAGAGTAAAGTTCAGAAAAGGGCACTACAGGTTGAAACAGCTTCCACAGGAGAAATGGACAACCATTCCTGTGTCTTTGGAATCTGGAAAATGGATGAACCAGGGAGACCACGGCAAAGGTCCACAGAATGAGGAGTGGGACAGAGGAATAATCAGTGGACACTGAGTATTCCCTCCTTCAGGGGCACAGCCCCAGGCAACACGGGACCCCAACACAGAGCAGGGGCAGAACAGACAGAAAGGGGGGATTTTTCAGAGGAAATATGTCTGTGGAACCTTTGCCCATGTGATGTTGTGGATAAAAGCTGGTGTGGGTTCAAGAAGATGCTGACAGGGTCTCATGGAAGAGGAACTGAATTAGCAAATACACAGAAACCACTGCAAAGTTAGGAAGTGCCCCAGAAACAAACCTGGACCCACAGAGAGTTTGGGACAATGTTCCCCTCTGCTCCTTGTCACTCCTGGGGAGAGGATTCCAGGCTCTGCCCCCTTTCCCTGTGAGTGTCCTTCTGTATAAACTTCTCTCCAACAAATACAAGCTATCACTAACTCTGATCACTGCAGTTGCTCATGTATCTCTGTTTGCTCACATCGCCTCTGTATCTGCCTTATAAAAAATACTGACCCCACGTCCTGCTCTCACCACTCTGTGCAATGGATTTAACAATATCTGTGCTGCAGTGCAAGCACAGGAACACAATTGAAATGAAAGCACTCCAAAAACAAGAGTCAGCTCATATGTGAGAGAACCTAGAAAACAATTTGGAGTTGGTGCCTTCAGCGTATTTTTTTTTTCTGTCCACGCTCAGTGTAGGCTCAATAATCCATGAAATAAATGGCTGATGCTGGAATGAAGGATACCATTGTTCAGGAATCATAATCCCAGACCCTTCTGCAGGTGCAGCAATTTTCCTTCACCCAATTCTGGAAGGCCTCCGGGGGGATTTTGACCGTGAACAGCCACATGCAACAACGAACAAACCCCATAAAAGTCTGGTTAAAGATTCACTTGTCGGAAATTGCTGGACAAATCCTGGAAAAACCCCAAAATCCAAGGAAGTGGAGCAGCCTTACCGTCTGACAGGGTCCGGACCACGACGTCGTGGGTGGAGACGCCGGGGCCGTGCTTGTTGTAGGCGACCACGCGGAAGCTGTACTCGGTGAACTTCTTCAGCCCCGTCACCGTGTGCGCCAGGCCTGCCACCTCCACGTCCTGTCCCCACAACACCCCCGGGTCAGCTCTGCTGATGCCTCAGCTTTGGCTTTTGTATTCTCACATTCTGTGCTGCTTTAGTGTGAGGGTCTGGGATTCATGTCAGGGGTTGGTGAGCTCTCTGCACAGAGCAGGGAGACAAAACAATTCCTGCTCTGGCTGGGACCAAGGACCAGTGATCCAAATCTCAGCCCCAAGAGCACAAACAGCACGGACCAAAGAGAGAAAACAAGCAGGATGGGACTGCATGGGCTAGAGCTGGAATTGGACAATTAACTCCAATATGCAAATGGGCCAAAACTTATAAAAGTGTGAGACCCTGTGACCGGTTGTCCATTTTGTGGTGACCATTTTGGGTTGTGCTGCCCAAGGTGGATCTATTGAGGCTTCTCAATAAATCCCTACTTTATTCTGTAGCTCAGTCTAGGTCTGTTCTAGGTCAGTCTTTCCAAGGCATCACTGCAGGGCCATCAATACCACAGAGTTCCTGCACAACCCATAGCAGGACTGACACCTCTGTGCTACCTTCAGGCACAACCAGGACTTGGGAGGATGACAGCTCTGAGTTTCCAGGAGAAAATTCTCCCTATTTAAATCCTAATATGACACTGGTCCTGGACATGGAAAGGGACCTGGAAACCATAACTCAAAACCATCATAATATATATCACTATAATTGAAATAACGGGATGCAGAAGTACAAAATGCAACAGCTCTATTTAAAAACTGATGTAAAAAAATATTTAAAAGCGAAGAAAAATATTCTTCCCTTTGCTTTTTAAAGCTGGAATGATACTGATATGCAATCAGATGGGAATGTGGCAGTGAGGACTGGGATTCATCCTCATTATTCTCAGGTGACAGCCCATACTTTTGACAGAACACACTGAATGCTTCAGTGGAATACTAAGAAAATTAAATTAACTGGATGCTCATCAGTATCAAAATATCAATCACTGGGTCCAAGAACTCAAGAAACCTTGGATTAGGGATCATGCCAAAATCAGTATTTAGCCTGAACTGCTAAAACCCAGCCCATAACTCTGTGCAAGTGTCCTTAATATCACCTGCACCAGAACAGCTCAATAATGACATGGCTGCTCTCTGCCTTCTCCTCTTGTGATATGATGTAATTCCCCAAAACCTACTTGATGGTGACAAATATCAAATCAGGGCATCACCAATAAAATGGGTTTCATTCCCAGCCCAGACACAAACATTTCACGTTGAAATTCTGATTTAAGCATTCCCACATGAGAGCCTAAAGCATTCAGCCTGTCAGAAAAGCAGACCCTCCCCATGGCGTGTGCAGCCCTTCAGGGCAGTCTGAACAGCTGCAGCAGGCCCTGTACCTGCTCCGTGTGCTGCCCCTTCTCCATGTAGTAGAGTTTGTAGTTCTGGATGTCCCCGTTGCCCGAGAGCGGCGTCTCCCAGGTGACGGTGACGGTGGTGGGGGAGCCGGAGAAGGCGCGGATGTTGGGAGCGGGGCCGGGCAGCTGGACTGCAACACAACGGGGGAACTCTGTTAGTCCTGAGCCTGGAGTGCCCACCTGGCCAGCACCCCAGGAAAAGGGGGATTTTTCCCATTGTGACATTCCATACGGATCCACCGCGGCGTGGAAGGTGGGACCAAGTTTCCAAAGGAGATCCTGCTCCCCTTTGTCTAGAATGACCCTACCAAGTGACTTGGTATTTGCCTGAAGTTTTCTCTTTTTCAGTTAATGGTCATTAACTTGGTCATTTACTTGGCATTTACCTGAAGTTTTCTCTTTTTAAGTTTATGAACATTAACTGAAAAAGAGAAAATTTAAGGCAAATGCCAAGTAAAAGCAAAAAAAGTATTCCTGTTAGAGCAGTTTAGAGAATTTAGCAAGGAATGTCCCATCAGCTCTTAATGGTAACAATAAATCCCACAATCCCACTGACATGGAAAATCCTTGGAAACTGTGGTCCGCAAGCACAACTTTTAAAAAGCATCAGATTCTGGGAAAGGTTGTGAATGGGGAGAATAAAAAATAAAATCAATATCTTTGGCAAATTGAGGAAAACCCCAGGAACATCCTGGCTCACCCTCGGGCTGCGTTGCCACCTTGAGCGGTGCCGAGCTCTCGCCGGGGCCGTGCCTGTTCTGGGCCACAACCCGGAACACATAAACTGTCTCTGGCATCAGGTTCTGGATCATCACTTGTGTCTCTCCAGGACGACTCGTGTTTTCCACACGTTCCCTTTGGGAAACAAAAGGGTTGGGCACACACACCACCAGTGATCAGTAAATGAGGAGTAGCTGCTCCTGCGGCGTGTCCCGTCTGAACGTACCCAGTGTGTAAATGACGTGGGATCTGCACTGTGCTCCCTGCACAACACCACAGGCGTGTGCCAGAAGTGCTGCTGACAAACTGCTCCCAATTTTGCAATTTCCCTTTGCACAAAACCGAATGCACTGAAGGAACAGAATAAATTACACTTGACACCCACAAACTCGGAGTGGTTTCTTTGTTATTTCCATGACAGCAAGTGATAATTCACAGTGACAGTTTATCCTACAGCTCAGGAGCCAGCACAGAAACTATTTTAGCAGCATGCACAGTCTGGCGAGATTTAGGGCATTCCTTTTAATCCTGTGGGGCTGCTTTTTGGGGATTTTTCAAAGGAGCTGTTTTAACATGCTCTTCTACCTCCAGCCTTGCCTCATCTCCTTGCTGAAGTTTGGCTTTGTTGAGAACACCCAGGGCACGGCCATGGCACTGACACTGCTTCTACACAGAGTGGAGGTGAAGTGAAAATTCCGACCTCCAGCAGCTCCTGGAGACAGATCCAGGCTACCCACCCACAGAAGGAACACACTTGGCATGGGAAGGGGCATCTCTGACAGGCCAGCATGTTGTGAGCTGGAAGCCCCAGCCCAGCTGGGAGCACACAGGTCATGTGTGGGGACACCTGGAAGGGGCATTGCTGCTGCTCAGTGACCTCCAGCCAACCCTGGCACCGGAACACGACGCTCCCCCTGCAGAACAGGCCTCTGCCAAACTGAGGGGAACATTAGGAGATCAATCATTAAGCCAAGGGCAGCCTTTGTTTCGAGGCACTGCCCTGCACCTGAGCTGCTGGGGCTGTGGCTGGGTAATGCTGCCCGTCCTTCCCTGGGAAGGAGCTCCCTGGGAAGGCCCAGAACTCCAAAAGGAGCAATCAGGAACTTCTCACTGGGCACATGCAGGGGACTGGGCCTGCTGTGGGCACCATGCAGCCCCTCTGGGCTGCCAGGCTCCCCGTGGGACAGGGGTGGGCAGGGACAGTCCAGCCTCAGCCCCACCGACACCTGTTAAAGCATTTCTGACACAGGAACTCCAGCAGAACCGTCCCAGTCTCCCCTTCCTCCCTTCCAGCCGCTCTGCTGCAGTTTGTATCAGGGAAATAGGACCCCAAATCCCTCTTTTTTTTTTCATCCACCCGTGTGGTTGATTTAGCAGAACCTGGCTGAAAACATTCTGAAATCCCTGTTGGTTTCTGCACTATTAAACTGTATCTATAGAGAGGAACAATGCACTCTCTGTAACTAAATACCTATTTACATCCATTTGCTAGAATGTTCCCCTTCATAAGCTCAGCTAAAATGGCACTGCATAAACAGCTTCATTTATTTCAGCTTTTTATTAATTATCATTGCTAATTTTTCCACTTTGAGCACAACGTTTTCTCGAAAACACGTCTCCAAGTGGAGCTTCCTTAAAGACATGCTGTAGCTACAAGGATGGGGATCTGAGAGCCCAGCCTAAGTGCCAATGGACTCACAGCTGTGAGGTAACATCCAGCTCCCATTAACATGCAAAATATAGCATTTTCTGTCTCAAGTGCCAGTGCACTCCCTGATTTGATCTAAGAAAAAATGGTAATCAGCAAACCCAGGTTATTATTTAAAATTAGAAAAGAAAAAATTATTTTACTGGAAAGACAACATTTACCAAAAAGAAATAGACATGTCACAGTATTGCAAATTTTCAGTAATAACCAGGGCTGTGGCTTCCCAACAGCTTGGTAAAAATAGGGAGAGATTAATCTAATTAAGTGCTGAGTGAATCCTTCCTTTATGGCTGTTCCTGGGGAGCCTGGAGCACCTTTTCCAACGTGCTCAGGTTGGGATAAGAGCACAAGCAGATGGGCCCCAGCAATAACTGCAGCATCCTGCAGATCCTTACGATGTTGCACGACTCCACTCTAATGCCAGTTAAGGAGCTTTGGAAACTCCAGTTCAGGTTCAGAGGAACTCTCCAGCACCCACAGGAAGAGCCTTCAGTGCAAGCCCAGGAGCTTGGCTGGAGATGCCAAGGTTAAAGATGCACTTCCATCTAAAAAAGCATCTCTGGGGAGCTGTTAGGGGGTGGATATTGTGTGTGCCTGCCGTGCCAGCTGTGGGGCCTGGCAGGGAGCTCCAGAGGCATTCTGAGTGTGATTACACACAATTAACTCCATTTGCTGTGTCTCAAGCACACCACAGTTAATTGTGAATTCAGCAGCATTTCAACATCCCACATGTGTAATTTCCTACCTCAGAGCAGCAATGTGCCATTTTTATTCTTTTAATGTGCTATTATTTCTTTTTTCTTTTTTGGTCCATATCTTGAAGTCTGGGGTTCTTCTGCCTGACTGCTTGTCTAAAGTTCCCTAGAATTAAACCTTTCTGCAGCACTTTTGAATTTTCACACCCTTTCCAGGGGAACTGCCTTGAGTGTGAAGTAAATAAATACCTGGGGATGAAATAACCTTTTGCAGCTGTGTGAGACAGTAACTTCCACCTCTCAGATTCCCCCAGGTCCCCAGGGGTGTGACAGGAAAGCCCTGGGACACCCCTTCATCCCCACCTCCCTCCCCCAGGGGAGCCTCTCTGATGTCACCAGGCCAAGGTGGGACAAGCCATGGCTGGTGACACTGTGCAGGCCCTGGAGCAGAAATGTCCCCTCCATTGCTGCCTCCTCACTTTGCAGTGCTCCTCTTGGAATCACAGAATGGGTTGGGTTGGAACAAAAGTGAAAAGTGATCCAGTGCCATCCCCTGCCATGGCAGGGACACCTTCCACTGTCCCAGGCTCCTCCAAGGCCCTATGTCCAGCCTGGCCTTGGGCACTGCCAGGGATCCAGGGGCAGCCACAGCTGTGCCAGGGCCTCTCCACCCTCACAGGGGACAATTCCTTCCCAATATCCCATCCATCCCTGCCCTCTGGCAGTGGAAGCCATTCCCTGTGTCCCTTGTCCCCAGTCCCTCTCCAGCTCTCCTGGAGCCCCTTCAGGCCCTGGCAGGGGCTCTGAGCTCTCCCTGGAGCCTTCTCCTGTCCAGGTGAGCACCCCCAGCTCTCCCAGCCTGGCTCCAGAGCAGAGGGGCTCCACCCTCAGAGCATCTCCCTGGGCTCCTCTGGTCTCTCTCCAGCAGCTCCACGGCCTCTCTGTGCTGGGCCCCAGGGCTGAGGCAGCTCTGCAGGTGGGGCCTCACCTGAGTGGGGCAGAGGGACAGAATCCCCCCTCAAAGAAGCCCAAGGGGCAGAGGTGAGGAGGCACTGCCCTGGTCCTGGGTCTCCCCTCCCTGAACTGAAGGAAGCTGAGCCAGCAGAGGCCAAGGCAGTTGGAACCTCAGACCCTCAGAGGATTTGGGTGCCTCCTGCACACTTCCCACTATCCCAGGGTGCTCCAAGGCACATCCTGCCTGGCCTGGAGCACCTTGGATATCACCAAATTAAGGGAGTAACAGAAAAACAACATTTTTGAGGCAAACAAAATGTTATAAATTGCCTCAGTTAATTGCCATGAGCCTGGACAAGATGTCTATCCAGAGGATTAAGGAAGAGCAGGAATTCCCCTCTGGAGTGTTTTCTGTTCCGAATGACTTTGTGTCTCACACTCGCATCAATAAAGTGAACAGATAATTTTCCCTTGAGCAATAAATCTGATAAGCCAATCTGCAATTAATTAAGCATTGCTCCAAATGAATGTGCACTTCAGCTTACTCAAACTTATCACAATTTGAAACTGTAATTCTGAGCAGTAGATCCCATCAGGAAGGAGAAGGGGTGGACTGATATCATGCACTGGGATAACACATCACAAGTGATTGTAGTGAGGCATTCCCCAGATTTCTGTTTCCAGCTATTCTGAGCAGGGAACTGGCATTAGCACTGAGCACAGGGTTTAAGCAACACCCACCACACAGCTGTCCCTGAGTGAGGGGGATTTGCAGGGGTTTGGAGCCTGACGTGCCTCCTGCCCCCAGCATGGCTTCCAGGGGATGTTCTGTGCCCCTGAGGAGCTGTGGCACTCCTGCTGCTCTGTCCCCACCAGGCTGCTGAAGGCAGGTGGCAGCTGTTGGAAGGTTTGCAGCCAATCCAGCCAAGCTCAAGCACTGTCTGTGCAACTCCTCCACTCCCTGTGCAACTCCTCCAGGAGAGTGCAACTCCTCCTCTCCCTGTGCAACGCCTCCAGGAGTGTGCAACTCCTCCAGGAGTATGCAACTCCTCCAGGAGTGTGAAACTCCTCCGGGAGTGTGAAACTCCTCCAGGAGAGTGAAACTCCTCCACTGCGTGTGCAATTCCTCCACTCCCTGTGCAACTCCTCCAGGAGTGTACAACTCCTCTACTCCCTGTGAAACTCTTACACTGCCTATGCAACTCCTCCAGGAGTGTGAAAATACCTCCAGGAATGTAAAACTCCTCCTCCACTGCCTGTGCAACTCCTCCCTGCAGGAGGGGCAGGAAGGAGGGAGGGGAACACCACCCCTCCACCTCAGAGCGTGTCAGCAAAGGCCAGCAGAGCCCCTGCTCCAGCGTTTACCTGTTGATGCCCTCCTTGGTGTAGAAGATGGAGTAGGTGAGGTTGTCTCCCTGCGGGTCCGAGGCCGGCGGTCGCCAGGTGAGCCGGATGAAGCGAGTGGACACGAGGGTGGCCACGACGTCCCGCGGGGCCGAGGGCAGGGGTCCCGCTGTCGCTGGTGCTAGATGGTCATTAGTGGCACTGGTCAGTGAAGTGGGAGGTAATGTTGGGATGGCAACATCTTGGCATGTGCAAACATTGGGGAATATGAAGGGCAAACATCACCACGGTTTTTAAAAAAAAAAAAAAGAGAACAGAAGAAAAAAAAAACGTAAAAGAAATAAACAAAACCACGATGGGAAACAGAAGAAAATGAACACACAAAAAAGGCCATTAAACTGAAGGCTGACATGCAGGCAGAGGTAACTACTGACCACTAATGGGGAGTACAGGAAACGGCACTGTCAGGCAAGCAGACCAAATCTCCACTGTAATGGAAGTGGCAGGGGAGGGGAGGGTGGAACTGGGGTAAAACAGACCTCAGGAGAGGATACCAGCAGCAAACCACAGTGTCCTTGCTTTGGGACCACGTGTGTGACAGCTAAACCCCAACCTCTGTTAATTACTCTAATGCACACCCAGACCCCACTTCCTACTGTAGCTCATTAACATGCACAATTCATTTAAATGATTCTCTATCATAACAAAATGACAGATGAATACACAGAATTCCTTTCAGTGCACACTCATCCAGCCAAACCCTGCAGTCCTGACCTGGTTGGGTTCTGCTACTGCCCAAGGCACTGGAATTACAGTCCTTTTCCCACTGTTTTCCTGCCATCTTCCTCTGTCCCACAACCCCCATTTCATCATTTTACAGCATAAATAACTGTTGCTCTGGATTTTACCCACACTCTCCAAACTTTTAGCCTCAGTCATGTCTTCCTATGTTGCTACTCCAAGGCAGGATAAATCCAGGGATTATTGCATTAAAAGGTTGTTGATTTAAAAGCACAAGCTGAACCACAGGAAGAGCCACTCTCTCTCCAAATCCTATTAAAGCAATCCAGCCAGTAAATGTAACAGTGAGATTCTGAGCAGCTGGACCCCAATTACCACTGAGTATTCCAAGCAGCACAATTAGTAACAAACCCCCAAAGCTCAGGATACATGGAATTTTTCTGCATTCTGAACTATTTACCAAGCTTAAGCCACCTGATGACATTTTCCACTTGGGAATCCATGCTGCCAAATACATTTATTTTTTCATTAATTATGGGAACTAACTAAAATTGCTCTGCTTTACCCCAGAAAGAAATTCAGGACTAGAAGAGCTTGTTGAGCTGCAGCGTCTCCACCAGAACATGTGGATTTGTGTTCTGATACACAACGAGAAAAACTCTCCAAAAACCTGACTAAAGAAGAAAATGTCTGAATGACCAAACCTTCAGGGAAAAACACTGAGGAATCTTCCATCAGCAACAACCTGACTTTAAATTGTCAAAGCCCCTTGCCAACACAAACATCAGCTTGGGAGGTTCTCAATTGACAGAACTCTTATTAATTTTCCTGTTCTGTTTCTTGGGCAGATCCTGACAGAGAGCAAAGAAGCAGCCATGGGTTTTATCAGATTTGTACAGTGTAATACCAGTCCGTGGGCAGAACTGGGAGACAGATCCCAGAGCCAGGAACATTTTGGTATTCCAAATACAGATCAAGAGAGACACGTACTCCAGGGTATCTCCTTAATTATCCCTTTCACAATCTAATAGCTAAAGATCCCAATTAAGTGCTCTCCAGCAGCCCCTCCTGATCAATACATGACACCGTTAATTTCACATTCATTGCAAAATCTATTTTTATCTAACTCCCTTTTTTTGTGTCCCATCATTGGATTCTTTCACCACTTTCAGCTCTTCTGGCCTCAGCCAGGCCACCATTCCCACAGGGAGTCCCTTGCTGTTGCAGATCACTCAGGAGAGCCCTGAATGGGGCCAGGGGATCTCCCCAAACCCTCTCCCTGCTCCTGAATGACATTCCAGTGCTGACCAGTATCACACCAGGCTTTCCCTGTGTTTAATCCCAGCCCTTGCCATCAGCTCCCTTGGACTGGAGACCTTCTCACTGCACCTGACCAGCTCCTTCTCAGTGTTCCCACTGAGGAACAAGGGATGGAACTGCCCAATGCCTGTTGCTTTCAGTACTTTTCCCACTGTCCTGCTTGATTTCCAGTTCACTCCAAATTCCAAACACTCATACTTGGGTTTCTCTTGCCTGTCTTGGTGATCTGCTTCAAATTATATGGTTTTGATGCAAAATCCACCCCTTACCTATCATTAAAATCTGTACAGTTGAGTTGAAGTGGAATATTTTAAAAATTCATCTGCTTAATCTAAACCCCATCCCCACACACTTGTGTGTTTTTCTTCCCATATGATGAAATGGATGCATCTTTTGTGAAGCAATGTGCACACAGAGCTGAGGGGTCTGGGAGGGCTGCCAGGATTTCCCAGAGAACAGACACCCAGTTCTATGGGCAAGGCTCCGAGCAGGAATGTTCCTTCCCACAGAGTTACAGAACAGCCACAGACAACAAAACCCTACTGGCACCTGAAAAATCAGCTGTGACCCAGAGAGCAGCAAGGACCTGAAACCCTCCAGGTGAGGCTGGCAGGGCCAGGCCCAGAACTCCCCAAACACTTCTGGGGCTGCCAGGAGCTGGGAGAGGTACCCCAAAGATTATGGGATTTCCCTCCTTTTTTCCCTGTGTTTCTTACAAATGTCTCAAGTGCTGTTACAGAGGCTCCATCCCCAGCTGGGTGAGCAGAGCTGTGTTAATGACCAATTACGCCCAAATTAGCTCTAACATCAACCAGGGAATGGCTTTGCCCCTTCCAGCTTTCAGCCCTATGGAAGAAGCAGCTCAATTCTCTTCTAACATCTCCATCACTTCTTAAACTGTAACTCCAACTCTGGACTGTTCTCTGCAGTTATTCCTACACAGCTTTCATGAATCTCATTTTTTAAAAGCACATTCAATAAGTGACTGTGCTTTGCACCATAATTCATCTCCTACTCTGGAGTAACTGGAACCAGAGGGATGCTGGAACTCCTACACAGCTCCAGGCAGGAGTTCCACCCCTGCATCCTGGCCACTGCAGGGCAAGCAGCAATTCCCAGCAACATCAGAAGCAGAATTTTTTAACTTTGTCCTAGAAATTATTTTCCCTATGGAAATGGTTTTCCCCACATCCTACAGCATTCCAAGACATAGGAATCTGTGTTTGTGCTGCTCAGGTGTGACACAACAGTGCCAGCCCCACAGGAATCCCAGGGATGCAGGGCGAGGGGACATTCCAGCTGCTGATCCTCAAGCCCCTTCCACCAAGCTGCTCTTCCCAGGGCTCCTTCTGAGCAGATCCCAAATGCTACAACTATTTTATCAAAATACTTGGCAGGATGTGCAAATACCCACAAGGATTTGGACTCGAATCAGTCAGTAACAAGTGTGAGTTGCCCCAGCACTGGGCTGGTGACACCCAAGAGGTGAAGGTGTCACAGGGTGGGTGCACTGGTGTGATCCCATCTTTTCAACTTGGAGGAAAACCATGGGATAACAAAGAGAGGGAGCATGCCTGGAGAGCTGCTCCAGGGCCACACTGAGATCTTTTCCAAACAACCCAGCCACACCTGAACACCCCTCACTGAACCCTCTGGTTGTTATGAAATCACTGCAAATACTTTCCACCCCTCCGGTTCAGATTTCCTTTTTCCTGCCTTCCCCCTGTTGGCATTTCCAGGTTTCCTCCTGTTTGGCAACAACATTCCAGTGATACCATCAGCTCCAAAGAGGGGGGACAGGAATGTTATCTGCTCCAGCCTTATCTGAACCACTGGGGACACTCCAATCCCCTGGGTGCCCACCTGGCAGGGCTGTGGAAATGCAGGGATTCAGACCCACAAACACCTGAGGAGCTGGTTGAAGGTCATATCTGGGCTGCTTTGGCCATATCCAAGTGTTTGCAAGTCCTCCTTACAGCAGCTGCCCGAGGAGAATGCAGGGATTCCAGAAGCAGGAGAGGCACCAGGGGGTGATCCAGGTGTTCTGGAGCCCAGTGCCTGCATCCCACGGAGCTCTGGAGCAGCTCTCACCCTGAACACCCAACAGGGAGCTGAGTGCACCCCTGGCAGGGCCAGCTCACATGGAGATCCAAGACTCCCTGAGGTGCAGTCGAGGGGAGGAGCAGGAATGGCCTGGGAAGGGCAATGAACCCTCCGAGGGGGGAGATGGACCCAGCATGAGAGGGACCCTCCCAATGGAATCACTCATGGGGACAACAGGAACAGGGGCACCAGTTAATACACAGGGGAGGAGAAGAGAAGGTCCTCTTTGGAAGGATTTCAGGGTGGACTTTAGAGATTTGAAACAGATTTGAAACATGGTTTTAGCAATAAAGATTTACTACAACTAAAAATAGCAAATAACTATTTTGCCAACAAACCTTTTGGAAAAAAATTACCTAGGACTTTCAGGTCCAACACCTCTAATATTTTAACTGTATTCCCTAAGAAAAAATACATCAGAGGCACCAAATGTTTAATTTTGACTTGAGGTACTCAGATAAAACTGTGTACTCAATAAACAATATTTCTCCCATAAATCTATTTAGCTGATTCCAAAAAGGTAATAAAGACTTTCAAACTTTTTTTTTACCTACTGCACTGTTCTCTTAAATTTGAATTTTGGTTCATGGTGTCCCCATGGAAAGGTTCAGCTTGGACCAAGATTAAGCAGCTGTGATGCTGCAAAGAGCCACAGTCAAATCCCAATGATTTTGTTATGCTCATCGTATTTAAAAATAACAGCAGCACTTGGCTGCAGTGCAATAATAAGCATGAAATAACTAAATTAGTAAGTTCACACTACACACTACCCTTCAAAATTTTGCTTTCTCTATTTTTTGTCCATGTTTTTACTTGTATGCAATTGTTGTCTTTGTTCAAATGCTTAAAACATACATTTCCAACAGAAGGGATCACCTTGTTATTGCCAGCTGTTCCCTGAGTGATACCACACTCAAACAAAGCCACGTTACCTGGCCCAAGTAATTTCTCTCAAACAGCCAAAGTGCTGAAGCTGGTCTCACCAGATCAGCTGTAATAATCAAAATAACTTCTTCCCTTGGAAAAACTCATTTAAAGAAATCTCTGGGACTCCCTCCACAAACGGATGCTTTTGTG